GTCACTATGGTCATCAGGATTTTCGTCAATAATTATCGATTAGATATAGCCTGGTAAGCGACCAATACCTAAGTATTTTAATTATTTTATTCATTTTATTGCACTTCATCAGATCGTTCCGCTAAAATAGGGCTATTCTCCGATCATCATCATGACAATATGCATAGGTATGAAAAAACACACATACACACACCAGATAAATTGAGAGGTAGGTACTATATGACGGCTTGGCAGTGACAAAGTACACTATCACGGCATAGACCTACCCGACTGCGTTACTCTGGCGCAGTAAGTCCTTCATCTTGGCCTTAAACGTTGCTACACAGACCAGCCAAGCCGTTTTGCAGCGCCATTCGATTGTACAGGGAGGCAGCTCGGTTCACAAATCGACGTTTGCCATGGTTGTTTTTCGCACGACATACGGCTAAAAGGTGCGACTGTCTGCTGTCTCGACACACGTGCTCATGGTTATAGGACATATAAGAACGCAGTACATCAGGCTTCCCCGACTTAAGAATGCCATGCATCAGTGGCATGTCCACATGCGCTATAAACTCGGGTACACGCAGCCATGCAAGTTCGTCTAGCACATCAGAAACGTGATCAAATTTTCGCCGCCCGGAGATAACTCTGGCTGAGAAGTTAAAAACTTTCTGTAATCTGGCTATGGTCGTGCGATTGGCGCTACGGTATGCAGGAGCACAGTACCGCACATGGGACAAAACGAGAGAGTCGACAAGCCGAGGTAAAATAGAATGTGGAACAATGTGTCTGATGTGCATGAGACCGATAAGAATGCCGAAGCAGCGGTTGATGATGGTGTTGATGTGCGCTTCCCAGGTGAGCTCGGGGTCCATGACCACACCAAGGTTTTTGACAGTTCGCGATAGAGCAAGGACCTGACCCATAAACTCGACCTGAGGAGGCTCGTCGATCCGAGCCAGCTGGCGACGGTCACCGCACATGAGGAGCTCTGTTTTGCTGGCATTGACCATCATACCGTGCTGGAGAAACCATGTGCACAGCGTGTCCAACACGTTCTCCAGAGCAAGCTTCAGTTCTGGAAGCCGGCTACGAGGGCCAGTTATCGCAACCTGGGTGTCGTCTGCATAGCGAACGGCCAAGATGCGGAAGCCGTTGACGCTGGATGGAATGTAACAGCCGATGCTGTTGCTCACGATGTTGAACAACAATGGGCCGAGGCATGAACCCTGGAAGGTGCCGATGTTAATGGGCAAGTACATGGAATCAAAAAGATCCTGAATCGAATGCCATCCGTTGAACAGCCGGTCCCGTGGCTCAGTTGGTAGAGCGTTGGACTCCGCGTGGTGAGAGCACCCGTTCCCGATTATAACAGTCCGGGTTCGAAGCGCGACGGGCGCTTGCCATTTACATGGCCTCCTGACAGGTATGGTGCGGTTGGTGGCAAGCCGTAGCCAGGCGAAGTCAGTGAGGGGACCGGCCGTGCGCGGCTATGTGTGCAGTGCGCACGTTAAACTTTGGACTCTAAATTCTGCCATAGAACTGGAATTGCGTGATCGGAGGGTAGAGGGCAGGGTTACCGCAACAAGCTTCGCTTAGCGTTGGCTCTGTCTTTCATCTTTGTGAATCCTTCCTATCATAAGGTTCGGATTAAATTTATAAAAAACAGCTTCGTGACCTGAGAGGCCGTGAACTCACCTTGACCTGAAGGCAACGCCTTTAGTTAACCTTTTCCAGATAAAAATACATCATCGACGTGACTAATCATGACTCACACGATGTTGCCGACAGGGGCGGCGGATTCGGGGGGGCAGGGGGGGCAGCTGCCCCCCCTGGCAAACTCGTGGGGGGGCAAAAGTATCTTTTTGCCCCCCATAATTTGTGACAAAGCTTAGACAAGAAACCATGTACCTGGTTATTCTGTTCGATCATCTGAAGATGTAACCATATGCCCATATACTTTATCATACGTTGCCTTTTAAATGGTAAGCGTTCACGTTCCATTGAAGTTTTCCTCTCTTCAACCTAGTTTTGGAGGCATTATAAGCATCAACGTGACGCAGCGGCAACCCAGGCCTTCAGTAACCGCTTACAGGGGCGACGGATACGGGGTGGCAGAGGAGGCATCGTCCCCTAAGAAACTTTTGGAGGAGGGGCAAACGTATATTCTTGCCCCTCCATAATTTGTGCCCTAAACATGAGGAAAATTTCCATAACCTGATATTGCAGCTATGCGCTCCTACAGTTTGTCCAACAGTGCCTTTATGTGTAAATGCTAACCATTTCCACTTTATATCATTTTTTTTGTCTTTTCAGATTCTACATATTTATAGATGTGTGCAAGAGACGCAACTCATACCTTCAGTGGTCGTTTGCCTCTATTTTGTACCTACATAAATGCCAAAACGCAAGCGAGCGGAGACGGAAGGGCTAGCCATTCGCTTGCGGGTAGTTAGGACTGATGAGCGCTCATAATAAGCCACTCCCCTGATTTTTCGAGCGCAACAGTTTCCAGCGCATAAAATGGTAAACGCCGTGGTCGTACACATTGACGACATTGACCAATGCACGGTATAGTATGACACCCAAAGGCCAGTCATCAGAGATCTGCTTTGGGCATTCGAATTTCGGAGGCTTGTGTGGGGCCAGTGTAAAAACTGGATTTTCACAGTTCAGTATCCGCTTTATTTCAGTTTTCACTATTAAAAAAGTAAAAATTGATGTTAGAAACTTTTGAGGGTTAGGGCACTGATCATTAGTGGGCCCCCTCTGTCTAAAGGCTGACTATAGAATAAAGAGCATCAAACACGAACAGTAGCGGCGGAACACCTTCAATTAAGGGGGGGGGGGCACTGCCGACTTTTGGTCCCATTCTTTCCATGCAACGCCCATAGGGCTAACGTTAAAATGCCAAAATCAAAGGGAGGCACGGTGCCCCGATGCCCTCTCCGTTCCGCCGCCCATGAACACGAAAGCAAAATCTGAGGCATTTTGGAAAAATGAGTATGCCCCGCAGCGTCCGATAACTACCACCTTCCAGTGGGTCAAGCCAACGGGACTCAAGTCTATAATGGCACTTAACGATAGCACTAACCTTGTCTCACTTTTTGTTGAAGTCTGTTCCGAATGGTTTCGGCCACAGACTGGCTGCACTGAGGTCGTTTGGTATGTGCAACTGTAATTAAAGCCACCTGAGGCACTCTGACACCAGGCTGAAGCTGGGTTGGAAATGCTTCGTCTTTGCAGATGTCACTGGCCGCTGATTCTCGAGTGCCTGAACCGGTAGATGTCGTGGCAAAATTTGGTGTGATAATTTGGACCTTACCGCAGCCAGCGCACCCTAAAGCCCTAATGAAGAAACGCCCTACCCAGAGCTTCTGTATTCTCGTTCCAGTCCACCGTTCCTTCACCCCAGCCCACCGCCACGCTCCCTCACCTCAGCCCTCCGTTCCCAGCTTGACGAGCGTTTGGGCCTTATAGTTAACCTTGCTGTAGGCTGACTGTATAAACCCATCGAGACAGCCCGTCTCGGTGAGCTTGTTGGCGCCTTGGGGAGGGTTTCTGGCGGATCGCTGTCCCAATAGGTTTAGATGCGACCGACTGTCTCTGAATGTTTGAGCGGTCTCCTCCCGCTGTGAGCTAATTTCAGTTGATATCTGTCTCAAAATACTTTTTAAATGAAGATTAAACGGAAATCGAACGTAAAATGAACAGAGGAAATGGTAACGAGTTATCTCATTGAAGAATAGCGCTCGCCTCCTTCAAAAGGTTTGGAACCGTTCTTCAACATCTAATAGGTATGCGATCGGGTTATAGGCACAACTTTTCCCATTGGAGCTTTTTTCATACGAAAAGCGTTACATCGTCCACTGGCGGATCCAGGGAGCGGGCATTTAAAGCAAATATTTACTCTCCCTCCCCTGGCCCCTGCATCGCCCGAAATAGACAAAACGTACCTTATGTTTCCTAACAATAACACTTTTATCAGGATTTTTTTTTTTTTTTTTGCTTTATACTGTTCAGCAGTAGATCCGTAGGGAATCGAAATCCGAGGAATTTTTGGATTTTGGACACTTTTTTGGGGGGTATGTCCCCTACAGCGTCGAAAACGCCTTTCTGGATCCGCCTATGACATCATCTCGACTGGGATCTTGCCCCCCCCATGCCAAAATCGAATCCGCCGCCACTGGTTGCCGACATCACGGATCTGCGACGTTATAGTTGGCGGAACTGTTCAGTGCATAGGTAGGTAGGTATAAGTTTTAGGTTATAGTGAACCGTTCATTTAGGACTGCGGAGTCGGAGTCAGAGTCGGTCGGAGTCGACAGTTCTGACAGGATTCAGAGTCTACCTCGGAGTCGATCTTGAAAGCCGGAGTCGAAGTCGGAATCGGGAGTAGAAGTCATCAAAAATACCTCGACTCCGCAGACCTGCCGGGGCTGCGAGGCTGGACTCGGAGTCGGTCGGAGTCGACAGCTTTGTCCACGGTCGGAGTCGGATACCTGCTGAGCTGATTTTTGGAGCCAGATGCGGGATTACAAGTTGGAGACGGATTCATCGAAAATCCCAAGATTCTTACAGATAATCCATCGACCGATCCATATCGATCCATCCATCCATAATCCATAATCCATCGATAATCCATCGGAAAATCCTTATCCATCGACTCCGCAGCTATGCATAAACAGACTGCGTACATAAATACTGTTCGTTTTTCATTTTTTGTATTTTCACTCGGGTATTAAAATTACTAAAAAAAGCTGAGTGCTGAGACAAATATTGCGCAATTGTTTCATTTTTAATATTTTATCCCCGCGTTCGATGGCTCTTGGATGGCGAAGATTCTACGTCGTCCGGCCAATCCCGTTCAAGGTTAGCGGGGGCTCGGCTGCGGTTATGGAACGTGATTGGCCGAACGACGTAGAATCTTCGCCGTCCGAGAGACATCGAACGCGGGGTATGTCTTATGTAAACAAACTAGCACGTGTGTGTGTTTTGTATGTATTGATATGAAAATTTCAAGATAATTGTGTTTGCAAAGGCATAACCTATAAAGATGATTTATTCAAACATTGGTGCTCCCAGGGTGCTCCTTTATCAAATATAAAATGGCAGCTCTAAGGTGTGCAATGTGTTGAACTGATTACTTTTTATTATATTGATATGGTACTCTGCGCACCCCCTCAAATCAATTGGTAGGTATTATTTGGTAGGTATTATTTCTATTATTTGGTCACAGTAGCACCAGTAACCACCAGATTGTCAATAATGAAGCAATGCAGCTGCAATTTACTATTCAAATCAGTAGGCGGAACTATGGTCAAGCGTACCCATTTTCGGGAACGCATTTTCATTCCCATGTTTGGGAACGATAAACCCAAATATGGGAACGCCATGTAGGCATTACTTAAAACAAGAAAAAGAACCGTTAAATGACGTCCAAAAAATATAAAACGATCGTGAACCGCCTGATATTTGTCTCAATATTGTTGGGAAAGAGTTTGATATTGTAAGGCCCATCGTAGTTTCAACTTGTTCCCCTATTTCTAAAGCAGTCCATCATCCGGGCCGCGAGTCCAAATTTGGGAACGCTCTCGTACACTGGCGCTGCAAGCGTTCCTTATTATGGGAACGGCGTACCCAATATTGGGAACGATTTCACCGACGCCTTTCAGGGGCCCTTTTCATTAACAAGCATCACGTCCAACGCCGCAAATCATTGTTAACACAACAATCATCAGATGACCTTTCCGGCAAGACCGTCGCATGTTTCGCCCGGTCTTCTGCGCTTTTATTCCCGTCGATCTCGCAGCGGGCACGCCCCCCTCTGCCAGGGGGGCGACACGGCTATTCGCGCAATGTATTCATTTATGGGCCGCGCGGGGCCTCGCGATGACGCGGCTGGAGGCAACTGCTCAGCGCGCTAGGATACTTCTGGCGGGGCCGGGCGCTGAACGGTGTGCAATGAAGGGTTATGGTCGGGCAGACAGAGATGAGGCATTGAATTTGAATTGACATCAGCAATCGGGTGGGGAAGGAGAACGTTTCTAATCGAGCTTGGGATGGGGAAAGCCGAAAATATCACGATCGGCTCATAGCTCCGACAGGGCCGGGTGCTGTACCATGTGTAGTATATTTAGGCGGGCATAGACATAGACATGGACATAGACATGTATTTGGGACCCTTCCACATCCATGGTGGCTATTCCGAGACGCGCGTCAATAAGATAGAAACTTGATATACATAAAACACACCTGAGGTAGCCGGCGTGCAGACAGAGATGAGTTATTGGATTTAAATTCACCTTACCATCGGTTTCTGGAGAGGTTTGAAGACGTCTTTAGTCAAGCTCGGAGTGGGGCAACGGCCACTGGCGGATCCAGGGGAAGGCATTTGGGGCAAATGTCTTCCCCAACAACCAGGGCAGCGCCCGAAATCGATTTTCGAGAATAAATGAAAACTTCACAACTTTTCTAAGGAAATGTTGGTTAATCACACCGCACAGCAGTGCGCAAGGAATCGAAATCCGAGTTTTTTTAATTAATTCCGAGAAACCTTTTTGGGGTAAGCCCCAGTGTCCAATACCGCTTCCTGGATCCATCAGTTGTGAATAAGTCACGGTCGATACCGAGCTTCGGCGGGACCAGGCGCTGTACACGTTGTTCTTTGAATGAAGAGGTGGACAGACACCTAGCCCCACACCCTACTGCTATGCCCGTGCTTCTGTGGGTGAAGCACCAAAGCATCACTGAATCCCAGAGGATTCAGTGCAATCCAGATTTTGAGATAGTGATGGGCGTACTAGAAAGCAAGTAAAAGGTATTGTATAAGTACTCCACAAGGTAAAAGGTGGCCGCTTTGGCCGCCGGGTACTGCAGCTCCCTGGAGTTGCCTGGGACCGATGGCAAAACAACAGCTCCGGCGGTGCCCCTATGGGCCGTAGTAATTAGTGAATTCCCTGATCTCCATTACCATTTTATATTCCTAAACTATATGACAGACCAATTATGCTTGCCTACGTTCAGGCATTACCTCTGATGGTCATACGCCCAGTGCAACATGTGTTGTCTGTCAAACAACAATCGACGACGGGATCCCTTTTCTTCATCTCTAGAGCCATCGGTTGTTAATTCACCCACCCCGTTTCCCTAAAAATAGACGGTCAGATTCGGCCTGGGTCCTTACGACCCCTCTAAATTCGCCAGAGACGGGATCGGATCGCCGTTATTGCACCCGTCTTAGTGTCTTAACCCTAGAACGCCTAGGGGGGGTTGTATCAACCCCCCCCCCCTGAGGTTTTTTCGAAGTGCACGCTAAACGGCTTGTCGTAGCGGGCTGAAATTTTCAATACCCTCTGGGGCAACCTTTGCGCATCTTTTGCCGAAAAAAATTGATCGGGTCATGTCAGGTCACGGAGTTATGACGTCATAAGAGGTACAGCCTCCGGCCGGATTTTCACAAACTGAGTGCCAACGCCCGAGGTTTCTTGCCGGTGGTACGGACATCGGTTGATGGATCGTGATGAAACTTTCCATGCATATTGGGGCAAGTATTGGCTATCATATGGTATAAGAAATTGGACCGGGTCAGGTCAGGTCACGGAGCTATGACGTCACAAGAGGAACAGCGTCCGGTACTATTTTTAAAAAGCGCCCGAACCACTATTTTGCTAATTCTTGTCACCTCAATGGGAATATGCAGCAATATTAGCTTCTATAGGGAGCAAATGGACCTCCCAAATCCAAAAATACAATCAGATTTCAAAAATTTAAATTTTGATTTTTCGAATTTCTGCCGCCGACTGTGACCTTGCCGACTTCCGGCGCTCCCAACGCGCCATTTTTAAAGCTAGGGAAACGAAATACATACCAAACGATAGAGAATTGATCAAGGAACACGATAGTGAAGGTTTCAAGTCGATATCTCCCACCGTTTTGCCGCAATCGCCGCCGAAAGTTGAAAAAAGTCTATTTTTTTCGAAAATTTGACCTTTGACCGGTCAAAAGTAGGTCAAATGTTGACCTAGGACCAAAAAATATACCACCAATCGCGAGATCTCGTTGAGAGCAATCCGTTGGTTTTTTCCGCTAAGCTCTACGACCTTCCGTTTCGAAACGCCAGGGGGGGTCGTAACAACCCCCCCCCCCCCCCTGGTCGTTCGTGTTATGAGAAATTGCCTGGTCGTGCGAGGGTTAAATACTATGACAGCTTCGACCACGGACGTCGGACGGGGTGATCGTTCCACGAATGTGCGTACCATCCAGGCCTAGGATGCATCGAGGTTTAAAAGGATGCAGTCTGTAGATCAATCAACAAACAATGGTGGTATGCAACCACTTTAAAATATCTCCCTGGCTCCCGCAACGTTCCAACGCCCCTCCGTTATGCATTCGCCCTGTGTGTCCGCCGAGCCGGCTTGCCTCCAATGACGTCATCGGCCGGCCGGCGGCGTTCAAGGTCAAACGGCTGGTGTCCTTACCTGGAGTTCTATAGCCTTGCCCTCTGCAGGATTACGTAATTCACAACGCTCAGCGATGTTCAACAAGGTCTTCCATACCTATATCCACCGTCCGCGCCGAGGGTGGAGACATGTCAAGCACCTGTCTGTTTATCACCGATAGTTGACGAGCACAAGGAAGTATCCAAAAATGGGAACGCTGAATATGTTACACCCTCAAAACACCTAGTCCCAATGAAAATCTAGTTTTTTCCTTTCTTAATGAGTGTAAGTGGCAAAAGGCCTGGTAGGATGGGCACGAGGAATGATCGAAATCAGCATAAAAATTATAAATAAGCCACACAGAGCGACCTATATAAGAGAAATCCCCCCAAAACGATCATGCTTAGAAACACGGAAGACAAAAACCACGCTCATGACGCTCCTTATAAAACAACGCTAAACAGCTAGCATCTAAATAAAATATGTCTTTCCGGGCTGATAAAATACAGCTGAATAATTTTAAACCACTGAAACTGAGTTTACAACAGTAGTTCGGTAAAATCACTGACGTTCCACGCGGTCGTGCGCCCCGACACCAAAAGTCAACAATATTACCTCGGGACTGTCCGCGTGTTCGCTTGCATATGTCAGCATCTGGTGTCGCTAGTATGAAACTTCATAACCAGGCGAAAATTATTATACTTGACCTCAAAATGTAAAAACGCTTCATTTTCCTTAAAATTGCATGTTAAATGTAGTATAACCCATGTTTTCACCATTCCGTCATTTAAAAAAATCATTAAAAATATCATTCGACGGTCAATTTCCTTGTTCAACGGTCAGATTAAAGATAATTTTATAGAGATTCAGTAGATACTTAAATTAGCGTGCACTTTTTTGAGACGTGGTGCACTTATGAGTTTTAGTGGGCGTACGGCCGAAAAATTACCGTCCGTTCTCATAAATGGGAACGCCCGTTCCCATATTTGGGAACTCCGTTCCCAAAAAAGGGAACGTTCCTATAGTTGGGTGCTAATGAGTAATGACCATAGTTCCACCTACTGAAATTAATGCATGTCTTATCCTGATATTGGTACCTACCTAGTCGTAAAACATATTCAATAATGGGGCCCTGACCTTCCAATACATCATCCCTCCGACCATCTATACCATCACAGAAAAGTGGAGCTATTAATGAAAGAAACTAACGTAGTGGATAAGAGTGGATCTCGTAAGTCAGCACCAGCGCATTCTTGTCTGCGGCGCGAGAAGTGGCGAGAGGTCATGCTAGACCCGGAAGGACCGTATTGGCCTAAGTATTGCCATCGCCGTGTTCCTGCGATGCATCAAAACTTCCAATCAAAATTATCACCGGTTAAAGGGAATAGTTCACTTTCACAAAATTAATTTTTTTGCAATGGTTGTATTTTTTATGCTCAAAATGATCAGCGAAGAAAATAAAACCTTTTTATAAAAAAATTCAATTTTTTAGATAGGAAAAAAATTCAGTTTTAAAAGAGGCAAATGACCCATGCAAGGCACACATTCCTCAGCAAGGCACCTTTCTCGGGACGAGAAATGGAGTATCTTTGCCTAGGCTGATCGTTTGGCTGTAAAAGCTCCTGATTTGTGCTTGTCTCAGCAGTCAGCTCAAGGTACGGAACTGTTATTCCAGTTCAAAACTCCATTTTAAAAGTAAACTAATTCCTCTAAGTGAATTGGGCGCGTGCAAGCCCGGGCGGTGTGTCCATGGTGACCTTTGGGCTCTCAGAACTGTCGTTTCCGATGATCTTTGACCCCACAGACCTGATTCAAAGTCATCGAAATATACATACGCACTTCACTCAGCTTATGGACTTGCTTGGAAGACTAATTAACATGCGAAAATCTTGCTCCGAAGTCGGAAGACAAATCCCGTCCTCTGAAATGTGCATCACCACGGGCAGACCTTTGTTTATTATTTCAGTGACAACCGCCTGACGCAACCACGTGCCTGGATCGTCTTTCATGCACAATGTCTCTCTCGGAACTCGACCAATGAGTGGGGTTCGTCGGTCTGAAAAAATGCCAGCCACACTGTGTCAGCTGTCAGCTGTGACACTGATGTATCCCAGAGGTCGGACGGACCATCAAGGCCGCGCCCCTGTGTATACACGGTGCGGTCTCGTCTGGGTCAGTCCGGCGGGATCGGCGGTCTCCGACCTCACGAGCCGCTCCCTCCGTCGTCCGGCAGCTGGTCGTTAGAGGGTGGACGGTGGTGAGGAGGGGGAGCGGCACCGATAGCCGGCCCTGATGCTGGTGGTGCGGGTGGTAACGGTCGGACGGGCCCGGCTGGTCGGCGCCGCGGTCCGGCGGCGGCTGCTGTCGGCGCTGACCGGGTCCGCTCCCACCGCCTCCATCCTGGATACACCGGCACGCTGCAACAGCCAGCTCGCCGCCGACGCACACAGAAGTCGGCACAAAAATGTTATTACCGGTGAGTTTGGGTGTCGCGCTGGTTTGGGTGTCGTGTAATTCGTCGTTTTACCGTGCTATTTTTTGCCAAACTTATTTTCCGTACCATCATAGCGTGATTTCTTACATGTGTGTTTACGATCGTGCGTTTGGAACGGGCGAGCGACTGATCTGATCCCGCCTTAGAACAAATGTGGACACCGAACAGTGGCCGTTGTACTCTTTACGATCGTTTGACGGCCGTCTGTGTGCGCTGGCCAGGCCCGGACGCCGTTGCGCTGCGTCTCCACAGAGGTCACCTGGTGGTTCAGCACCCCCGCTGGCCGGTGGATGACGCCTTCTTCTCGCTGGCCTGGCTGTGGGACCACTGTCGATGTCGACACTGCTACGACGATTCTACATTCCAGAGAAAGGTCAGATAAACGTAGGCTTACGTAGTTAGGTACGAAACCTGTCCTCACTCTTATTTGAGATTATTCAATGTATGTATGGTGTATAAAAGGAACAATTTAAATGACAAGTTCGTGCGTAAAGGATAAGTGCATAAACGACGATGCGTGTATTTGCTGACATTCCGGATTTTTGTGCTTTCGGTGGCATTTTTGCGAACGGTATTGTCCTGCTATGCTGTAAATGGAGAGTGCTTTTGCGTTTATGAAGACTAAATTACGAGTATCATTGCGGAAAACGAGATTTTAATGAAGAGCCAGTCACATTGATAGGTATAAAAAAGTAATTCGTAGCATTGTGATAAAAAGAAGCGTGTTTGTTTTCATGACATAAATGCGCAATTCACACATTTGTGGTAAATTTGTTGAATGTGGATCGTGCCATGCTTTTTACCTTCGTTCTGCGTTTGTTTTACCAATTAAATGTTTCCAGACTGATGTGCGTCAGCTCTCATCCGTGGGCAATCCTCTGCAGTTCAACGTGAACTCGACGGGAACCGTGCTGGAGATTATATGTGAGTGATTTTTCTCAAGCTGCCATTGCATGCTACTGTTTTGTTAAGTTATCGGATGCTGCTATCTTAACTTGCCGTTTTATTTAATATATTGTAGGTTCATTTTTTAATGCGGGTGATGCGTTTTGTGGTCCACTTAACGACTTGTTAAAACCTCGTACCTATTTCTTTTTTAAATGCCCCATCATCTGACCAGTGAGGCCTGTTCTCAGGGCACGACGGCCATCAGTCCGAGTACAGTCTGCAGTGGCTCTGGGAGAACAGCTATGTGGGCGCCAGGCACAGAGAACAGCGCCAGAGTCGGCTCTGGCAGAGGTCAGTTGCGGTGCAGGGGCGGGAGCACTCAAAACACAAACATTTTCATGAATTTCGCCAGTCGCCGTGCCAGAACGGGCTGTAGGAGATTGTGTCAAAATGGATGTGCCATTTTGAGTTGGTCAGCACCTCGAATGAGCCGATACAGTTTTCCGGTAATATTTAGATGTCGATGTGAACTGAGAGGCCTTTTTTAAGGGGCGTAACTATCCCTGGTGACTGAGATCACTGGGGCTTTGTATCCAGTGACGTTGGGGACTGGGGTCACTGCGAGGTACGATCACTGAACTCTAATATATACTGGAAGGAGCATTGGTGACTTGTTTTTGTCTATCGATTTCCGCCATGTTGTGTATACCAGAAATATAAATTGCATGTACGGTAGCAGAGGTGCAGTTTAGTGAGAGGTACACTACTCAAAAGTGCTGCTGCTTCATGCTTGCAGTTTGATTGCAGTGATCAACTTTTCAAGACTTTGGTATACACAACATGGCGGAAATCGTTAGACATTCTGGCCCATATACGGCCAAGGCGAGTGCCTCCCCCTGGGTACGATCCATCCTTTACGTGTAAAATAAACTAAAAGACTCGTCAAATGTGCATTTGGAGTTGATTGAGATATGTCCGATTAATTTTGTTTGCCTGCTTGTGTGAGCTGACGTGACCTGACCTTTATTTCCCGATGTCAGGTGCCTCTGGGACGGCCGACGGACCTCGGCGGTGGACCTGACCTCCGTGGTGTACGACTCCTTTATGACCACCGAGGAGGGTGTCCGCCGACTGATGAAGGGCTTCCTGACGCACGGCGCTGCTGTCGTCACCGGGGTGAGGATTGAGCTGCGCTGCTTTGTGTAAGATGCTACTTTAATGGCTAGTTTCCACTTTGCAAAATGTTGGTTGAGATTATAAAACGTGAATGCTGGGACGGTTATAAGCTTTATTCAACAAACTTTAACTGCTTAAAAAACTATTACTTCGTGTCCGATACGGCCACTGTCCCAGCTCTCGGCTCTGCCATGCGCCAGATCCCTGCGACCCGTGCTGCCCTCTGACGCGTCTCTCTCCCCTCCCGCAGGTGGCGCCCACACCGGCGGCGACCCAGGCCGTGGTGGAGCGGGTCGGCGTCGTGCAGCACACCATGTTCGGCGGTGTGTGGGAGTTTACAGCTGACGGACGGCACGCGGATACTGCCTACGGCCGGGACGAGCTGCTGCCGCACACGGACGGCACCTACTACAGCGAGCCGCCTGGGTAGGCAGGATAGGCAGCATAGGCAGTGAACGTCACTCACGGACGGCACCTACTACAGCGAGCCGCCTGGGTAGGCAGGATAGGCAGGGTAGGCACCTACTACAGCGAGCCGCCCGGGCAGGCAGGAAAGACAGGGTACACAATGTTTCGAGGCGTACTTACGCAAAGTGGACTTAATTACGTATGATGCTGTGAAAACGATCCGTTAAACTGAAGGACATGTTCTTGAAGTGGCAACGAAAACGGAGGACGTTCGTCGTTTTCTTCTCCTAATTGGTTTTACGCGAGCTGCAGCGAAGGAGAATGCATTAGTAAAAAGTGTCATGGACATCTCTTAACTTAAGCTTTTAAACAGCCTATATCGGTCCTCTACATGTGCTGCTTCCAATATTATTAGCTATAACCCTATCATGATTCCCGTTTCTTACCCCTCGTTCCCACTCCGATGCCGGCAGTGTGCAGGTGTTCCACTGCCTGGCGCACCACGGGCACGGCGGCGAGACCACGCTGGTGGACGGGTTCGCGGCGCTGCACGCCCTCCACCAGGCCGACCCGGCCGCCTACGAGCTACTGTCACGTGTGCCGTGTGCCGGTGAGTACCGCGACCCGTCCCGCCGTCTACACATGGTCGGCGACGGTCCCGTGATCGCCCACCGCGCCGGCGCCGAGCCCGCGCCCGACAGCCTGCTGCGGCTGCGCTTCAACCCGTACGACAGGGCGGCGGCGCGGCGCGGCGAGCCCGCGGAGGTGGAGGCCTTCTACGGGGCGTACGGCCGGCTTACGGAGCTGCTCTGGGACGAGCGGCGCCGACTGCGGCTCAAACTGAGGCCCGGCACGGTCATTCTGATCGACAACTGGCGCGTGCTGCATGGTCGCGCCGCGTTCACCGGGCGGCGACATATGTGTGGTGCCTACATGGCACGGAGTGACGTCCTCAGTCGCGCCAGGTCGGTCGGGCTACTAATCTAGACGCCACTAGCAGGGTTGTGCTCGACTCAAAAAAAATTTGCCGACTCGACTCATCATTCAACTTCAGAAAGCCCTGACTCAACTCTGACTCAAACGAGGAGCTGATGTTTTTCCCTTGACTCGACTCATGACTCAAGCGCCTCAATGAAAATATGAGGTGACTCAAACTTGACTCAAATTTTTTGTTGAGTCAAGTGTGTTGACTCAAAATTGACTCAGATAAAAAAGTTGTTGAGCGGGGGGAGAGGTGAAAAAATCTGTCAGCAGGGTGAGGGCCAGGCCTAAGCTGTTAAGCAGGGGAGAATAAAAAGCTTATATATATATATATATATTATTTATATATATATATATATATATATATAAATATATATATATATATATATATATATATATATATATATATATATATATTGTTTCTAAAAAGATGAGTCAGCTGACTCATGTTCCTAAATGTTTTTGACTCAACTCAATGTCAAGATATTTTACTGACTCAACTCTGACTCAACTCAACACCTTAATATTTTTGTCTGACTCAACTCTGACTCAACTCAACAGCTTAACATTTTATCCGACTCGACTCAAACCTGACTCATTTGAGTCAGAGTTGAGTCAAATTTCTGACTCGACTCATGAGTCAAGCACAACCCTGGCCACTAGTCCATCGTACAGCAAAACCGCCAGTCTTCCATACAAGGACTACTTATCTAGACGCCATTAGTCTTCCGAACAGCAAAACTGCCAGTCTTCCATACAAGGACTACTTATCTAGACGCTATTAGTCTCCCGAACAGCTAAACGGCCAGTCTTCCGTACAAAGACGGCTAGTCTAGACGCCATGACTATTATCTGGTAAAGCTTCAAAGCGCCAGTATTCGCACAACTGCAAAACGACAGTCCCTCTCGCTGTCAAAGAACCAGACGCCAGCTTCAGACTATGTGATTTTTATAACTATGTAGTTTACAGATGATTTGTACGTTTTATGCGAGCATATTAATGATTCCATCTTCTAACTTGTGGACAAGTCAATATGACGGTTGACGGTGGCACATCTTTTTTTTTGTTGTTGTTACTAATCCAGTCTAGATGAAATGAGCACTGATCATATACTATTTATATTAATGTGCTCTGACGGTCGTTAACGAATGAGGCCTTTTCAGGGACTTTCAGAGTTGGTAATGCTGTATGTTTGTTGTTAATGTGGATGGAGTATCACATTACACTACGTGTTTTATGCCTATTGCCTTATGTGTAATATGTATGCACAATGTGCCATGTATAATGTACACTGTACAGGGCTCATCTCACACGTCGAAGGCGTTCTTTTATTTCGACAAAGCCGAGTAGGTATAACTGGAAAGCTATGTTATCAGTCACTAGGAAATCAAAACACCAAAGGCCACACACAGGCTCGAGTCGTCACTATCCAAGTTTTCCATCCTGCTTGGTGACAATGACAAAAGTTTGTATCTCCCCCAAAACAAATTAAACCAAAATAAACGCCAAAATAAACGCCTTTAGCTGCCACACTATAAAAACTGCCACAAATCGAATGTGTGGCTTCTGGCGCGTTTTGATTTCCGATCGACTGTTAACATAGCCTTTGAGCTACTGTCGGTTTTGTCGATAAAAGAATACCTACCTACTGGCTACCACGGTGAGATGAGGACTGTTACCACCCCACCTGGTCTTCTAATGGAGCACGTATATCGTTTATCCATGTCCTGTTATTATCATTGTGGGTTGGACCAGCGGGATTATTCTGAAATGAGTGGAAGGTCACCGCCCACTCTTGTTGCAAATGGGTTATCATACATTGCCACATTTTACGATTGTCACTAATACATTCAAGGAACGAATTCCGTCTATCATTCTGGCCCCTCCCCTTCCCCACCAGCCCCCCCCCCCCCCCCATCCCCCATACGCCGTAGGCTCAGCTGCGTTCGCGCACATATAGGTCAAATGGATTTAGCTAGACGCTGACGTTCATACAGCATCCAGGTCCCATTATGGATCGACGCATTTGTTCGGCTTCAGTCATCACAGCAGAGTCCAATGCGCACATGTGGCGCTCACGGAAAAAACGTCTCTTTCACCGCTGCTAGCAGCTAGGGGAACTTTGCGGCCGAAGTTTGTCAAATAGTTTGACAGATTCTCCATCAATGCTACGATTCCTGGCATCAGAGGCATCAGAGGTGTTCTTGAAAGATAGTGAGGCTCGGATCTTGCAAGCTCATGTCCCCAACGACCCTTGAGAGAGCTTTGCATTGCCAGGTGCCGTAATAACTGATCGGCCCCGCTACCCTGTCATCATCTGTTCTAGTTTCTTTCATGGAGACTAATACAAATACAGGTTGATTGAGGATGCATTTGATCAGATGGTCTCGTTCTCGTCGGGCGGACGGCTTACGACGGACGCGATGTAAGTACCAAGCGACCTGAACCGGGCCTGAACGTGACCGACACTGGCTCCGTGGCCCTCGCAACACCCGCGTGGGCTGCACGAATTCAAATGAGGCATGCCAGCAAATTGAACTCATTTTGTAGCTATCGAGAAGATGAAAATTCGGGCCGTGGACCCAGGTATTCGGTTTAGGTCTAACGGCCTTTTGTCGGTCGCCGGTGGTAACCCGGTGCGGCAAGCCGACGGAACAACAAAAGTCATCTAAGGCGGCGCAACAAGACACCACTTGGCTCACCACATGATTAAAGCAGTCGTTCTGTTGAACGATATTCAGACCGACGGTACAGGAGGCTTCGACACATCTCATGGTCTGCAACAACTAGATATAAAAGGAGTCACACTGTAGCCCTCCCTCGGTCCCAGCCCGACCTTTCCAGCCGCGCGCGAACGCTCGTTCAAAAAAGGCAGTTTTAGACAATAGACAACCCTCACTAGTCTCCCGATTATTGCGGTTCTGCTCCCTACAACCTCACTTCATACACGAGAGGTCTGCTGGACGGTTAGCCCGCCGAGGACCACCAGCTCGCCGTTCTGGGTCCTCAGAACTGCGTACCGTGTCGCGCCGGCTGACGCTCCTCTGGTCTGACACGGGCGGCGCCGGCCGGGTCCGGCGACTCGGCCTGACCGGGCACAAACCGTTCCAGCGAGTCGGTGCCGGGCGGCGGCGGGTGCACCGGGTAGCCATGAGGACAGGTGACATCGCGCGCCGCGTACAGACCCTCCGGCCGTGAACAGGTACGCGGCGGCGGCGGCGGCTTCTGGCGGGCTCGCCGGTCAGTGCGCTGCAGCGACATGCTGCGCGCCGCCTCGACCGGCTGTCCGCCGCCGGTGCCCGGCACGCCCGCGATGCTGCGCCGGTAGCCGGCCGTCTCGGGCCGCCGCGTCGACCGCAGCGCCGTCGGCACGTCGTCGCGGTCTTCCACCGGGTCCGTCTCGAAGCGCACCGTGGGGAACTCTGCCGGCTCGGCGCGCGGCTCCGGAGCCAGCGCGGCCGGCCGGGGGACAAAGTGGAGACTGGACGAGCTGCGGCCGCCGACGGAGGAGCTACAGCTCAGCTGGAGGGAGCGCGCGCTGCCCACGGACGCCGAGTCGGGCTCGCGGCCGGCCGCCGAGTGGTCCGCCTCCTCCGGGTCGTCCGGCAGGTCCACCTGGCACGTGGAATCGGTCCTGTACACGACGCGACACCCGCTGCCCGTCGACAGGCCGGATACAGATCCGCGCAGCGCCGGCACCGTTTCACTGTAGATACCGCTAGAGTCGCTGGCCGGGCCGGCCGCGGGACGCGTCTTGAGGATGCCGCGCGGAGGTCGGTCGGACGGCGTGGTCGGGCCAGACGCCTCAGTCGGTGTCCTCGGCATCACGCGTTGCAGCAGCCCCTGGGCCAACGACTTCTCCGGCAAGGTGATGCCCTTTTTCTTGGTTTGAACTTTGTTGGCAGATTTGCTATTCTGCTTCGCAGATGAGGGTCGCAGTTGATGCGATGAACCGTGAAGACTTCCGGACCCTGAGCGTGGAAGGCTGGCTGAAGCGACACTGTTTCTCGAGCGCACACTGCCGCTCCTGGAGCCGGCTGACGCGACTGGCCGCTCCCTGCCGAGCGTGCTGCTTCTGCTGCTGTTGCGGCTGACGGCGGCCTTGGAGTGCTGCTCCCTGTCGCGCACTGTCCCGCGGTCCAGGGAGCGCTCCTTGGCCAGCGGCGCGGAGGCCCGCTCGGCGCGCTCGCCGCAGCTCCAGCCAGCCTCCAGTGGCTCTCTGGCACCACCCTCCGCCGCCCGGCGCGTGGACACACTCCCCTCGCTGGCCCGACGCGCGCTGGGAACGCCCCCGTTACCTTCCACCGGCATATCGAGGAGGTCGTCCCCGCTGGCCGAGCGCGCCAGCAGTCTCGGTCGGAGCACACTCTCCCGGCTGCCGCGCACACTGACCGACCGTGAGCCGGCCTCCGAGAGGCTGCTCTGACGCTGCAGGCGCCGCTCGCGCACTTTGAGACGCTGCTTCTGATAGTACACACCACCCAAGATCAACAAGTTCAACAGTACAAAACACACCCCAACTACGACCACTATGCTGAGCATGCCGGTAGCGGTGGCCGGCGCCGTCTCCTGCACGTCGCCGCCGGAGTCACCGTGCCGGCTGTCGCCCGGAGCGGCCGCCGGCGGGGGTGACAGCGTGTGCGGGTACTGACGCGGCGGCGGTGTGCTCGGTGCCAGCGGCGGCGGCGGCAGCAGAGGCCCGCCCGGCGCCGGCGGAGGCACCATCGGCATCAGGTTGTCGTAGTCCTCCGGCATCGGGCCCTCGAACGCGCCCGGGGAGGAGGCCAGGTGGCCCAGCACGACCCGGTTCCAAAAGTCCAGCTCGACGTGTCGGTACTGGGAGCTTTCCCGTGGCCGTGTTCCTGAAAGTCGCAGAGAGCATTGTTGGTATAATGTCGAGTAATATGCGTAGTGTGTACCGTTGAATCGGATAATGAGGTTCGATGTTACACGGGATTCGTAGTGCTCCATAAATACCCGGGCTATCAACTGCCTACGCATACCATGAGCTGTTTAAGTGAAAATTGGTCTCGTAAAGTGAGGGCTAATATCTGCTCACATCTAGCATCAGGAATCAGGAGGCGGTGAGCCACTTTTGTCCTTGGTCCTTACCCAGCTCCAGATAGCGCTGGTTGAGTTTGTCGTATTGCCGCCAGATCAGATCGTAGAACGGTGAGTCGCCACTGGGCTCTGAAATAAAGCCCTCCTGCTTTCTGGCTCCATTGGGGTCCCTGGCAACAGTCGGCTACAAGTCAGACCCCTAAACGCACACAGCCAGCCAACGGCATGGAAACAAGACACGTGTAACTCTTCTCCCTGCGTCGCCGGCCTAGTGAAATATCATCCGCTGGCAATAACAGCGTACTTATTGGCGAGAAAAGCCATAGCGACATCGACCTCCCACGTCACTGACCTCCCAACGGGCTAATGAAAAATGAGAAGCTTGTTCCGAGCTCAGGGCTCCGGGCCTGCTAGCCTAATTTAAGGCTATCACTACACGCGCTAACTTTCCTTCAAAGCTTCATTTAACGTGTCAACTGATACGATCACCTGCGTGCCTCGACGAAGCCCCGTCACGGGAGCAGGCCGTGCCGTACCCCGTTTTGACGAAGCTGCTCCAGGCGGTCATCATGTACTCGGAGAGCGCCTTCTCGGCCCGCGTGAAGAACAGGTTGGACTGCGGCGCCAGCGGGACACCGAACACGTAGGGTAGTTCATCGCCGGGCACGCTGCCAAACTGTGGGCAGGGGTGGAGGGGAGGGGGGGGCCGTCTCAGCGCTCTGTCCCGCACAGCACTGTCAACTGGGTCATGCTCATGACTCAGGTACTGTGTTGCCTCAACCGCTCGACAGAAAGAATACTTTAGACATGACAAAGCTGCCTAATGTCCACGTAATTCGACACAAAATAATGACATTTTGCTGACGCATTTTATCACTACAGTCGCATATATCATAGGTCAAAAGCCTAAAATCTAAAAGCAAAAGCCCGAAAGTAAAATAAGAGACAAACATGTTTGATCCGAGACTTGACCTGAAGTTGACTTTGAGCCGCCCCTCACCTGACGGTCGCCTCCGGCGTCTGTCACATGACTGAAGACGTACATGTAGGACCGGCTGGTGGATTGCGCGTGCAGGTCGGCCAGCCGGACCAGCGGCGCCACTACCATGGCATCGCTGAGCAGCTGCAGCGTCTGTCCGATACCAGAGCCCGTTAGCAAGACATTCTCGAAATTCGCTCCCCTCGTGTTGTCTGTAGCAGTTCAGATTGGCTGAGCTGTGCCTATGACATGAAATGTATCGATTCAACTGAGCAGACAGTACCATTCCATGTCTTGAACTCTGACATACAATCCACACTGATTCCATGCTCGAGTTACAGTCCACCACACTCATTTCATACGCGAGTTACAGTCCCCCGGCGCTCATCCCATACGCGAGTGACGCGAGTCCCGAATGCAGCCGCTGTTTACCTTGTCGCGGTAGCGGATGACGTTCATCTGGGCGTCCATGTAGCGATTGGTGGCCATGTCCAGTAGCTGCCGCGTGTAGCGCCGGTATCCAGCTCTGTAGCGTACAGACGCGTTAGGATGGTTAGAGGACACGGTTTTAATTAGTTTCATGGCACATGGGATGGCTGTGTCGTATAAAGGCGTTGCGCGCTGCTTGGCGAAAATACACGCATCATTGTAGTCAGCCTCAAAATTAATGTATTTGATGTGATGAAATGAAGCAGAAATCTAATCGAACCATGACGCTGCGACGCATCTCACTGAAATAAATAAACAAAATGAAATAATGAAATGCATGTTTCATGGATGAGCTCGTGTGATCAGGCAGTGGCGGCTCCCGTCTCGGCCCGGGCGCGCAGCAGCTCACCTGAACAAGGAGCTGATGAGCCGGTCACGCTCCTCTCGACTGAGACCGGTGCGCAGCTGGCGCTCACTCAGCAGTCCCAGGTCGCCCTGGGTTGTCACCCCGAACAGCAGCTCGAAGCGGCTGAGGCTGTGGGCCAGGTCGGCAGCATCCCGCGGCCAGCGCGGCACCACGATGTGGTCCTCGGACGGGCTCAGACTGGGCGCGTAACGCGGCCACTGGGGTGGGGATTTTTGTTAGTATCTCTCACTTATTATCCATCGCCAGCCGTGAGTGCTAGTGAGCCTGCCTGCATCCATCATCTTCGTCAATCATCGCGACATGTGACGGTTACAAGCCTACAATGATAGGTAATCATACAGCTGTTTGCTAGCTCATTTATAGGTCAGTTGAAACGTGGTGTCACTTGATCAATGAGGGTCAGATTTCGACCCATTTGACATTTTTTTTTTTAGTTAGAACGGCGCGGAATGGCAATTTAAAGCTCTCTTCAATAAAAAGGAACACCACATTTGAAATCACGCCACATTTGTCACCTCATTTGACATTTATACCAAGATCAACAGTGGATTTAGGTTAAGCTCATATTCAATTTAATTTCCATTTCCATGTTCGCTCAATTACTTGCCGGAAAGTCGACATTGACCAGCTGCCGGACGGGTTTGGAGCGGAGACACTCGAGCAGCTGGTGGTCGCTCTGCATGGAGCAGTTGAGCGCCCTGGCCACCGAGACAGTGACGTTGATGGGGTCGGCTGTCATCGCCCACGGGCTGAGTGACGAGCCGGACATCAGGATCACCCGCTGGAATAGCACTGCAGGGCAGGGGGATACACGGAATTAGAGACAACCCGGACACCTAAACAGCACAGTCAGCAGCACGGGGGGGATAACCGGGATAATGGACGACCCGGACGTCAGGATCTCACTTTGGAACTTCACTGCTTCGCAGTCCACAGTCTCATGTCACACATGAAGCAAACGAATTATAGCAGCACTACATAGCAACAGAAATGAAAGAGAGTATGAGCCGTATTGAGTCTTGAGGGGCGAGGGCTTCGGGGCATCAAGCCTGTAAGGTGGCGCACTGAGCAGCAAAACGTACATTTGACTATATAACGCAGTTATCTATCGGTATATAGAGAACGATCCTTCATTTCTCACAGGAAATCAGCTGCATCGAATGCTAGGCTGTGCCGCATCACACAGGCTGGGTGACACATTCTGTCCCTGTGACCCTACGCTCACCATAGACACGCTTACTGTGACAGGGTCGGCACAGGTAAGCATGCCTGTGAGCCGTGAGGAGTAGAACATCATTATTGTCAACTGTACGCATGCAATGCTGCGATTAAAGATTATTACGGAGACTTCAATGATAGTGCTAAAACCAGCACCAACTTATGCCTTTTCGATATCGAGGACAACAATCAGTGGCTGACACCCCTTACCGTCGGGATTGGAGTTGAGCGGCGACACGGCGAGCAGGCTGGAGCAAACGGCGCCCGTGCCGTGACCCATGACCGTCACGTTCGTCGGGTCGCCGCCGAACTGTTCGATGTTGTCCTGCAGCCATGACAGCGCTGCACGCTGGTCGTACAGCGCAAAATTGGCGAATGTCGAACCGCTGGTGACGGTGGGCTTCAGAAAACCTGCGTTGAAAAAAAGGAAGCTCGTGAGGTATAGGTAGGCTGTCGGGAACGTACCGTGGCATACTTCAACAGTATCAATGAAGCTGTGCTTTCGCTAGCCCTTCAAGAGTAAGATTTTACCCTTTTACCGGTTTTACTCATTTTCGGCATCAGCGCCGCGCGCTCTTACCGAGCACCCCGAGCCGGTAGTTGACGGTGACGACGATGACGCCGCCGAAGCTGGCCAGCACGGTGCCGTCGAGGCGGCGCGCCTGATCGCCGGCCGACTCGCCGTGGATGTAGACCAGCACGGGCAGCCTGTGACGCTGGTGATACCGGTGTCGCTGGGCGTCTGTGAAAGACACCAGTGCCACAGTCAGCACTCGACGGTATATAACGTCAGAGACTGGAGAGTTCGCAATAGACGGTGAGTGTCTGCGGGTGACAATTTATGTTTTTTCTGTCTGTTAGTCTGTTTGTTTGTTTGTTTGTTTGTTTGTTTGTTTGTTTGTTTGTTTGTTTGTCTGTTTGTTTCTTTGTTTGTTTTTGGATTATGCCCTATTGGTCTAATGACACCATTTCAGGACCGCAGGATATTAGGGGTTGGGGGATGGGGCATTGATCTGGGAGCCGAGCACTATGTGGTGCGCTGCCGAGGGCGGCTGGGCGAGCCGTCTCAAGGGACAGCCCACCCAGCCTCGCTAACGGTCATCCCACCGCACGTGAGTCGGCTCCCGGTGGAGCTTCTCACGCGTGCAGTGATGTTCTCCATAGGCGGCGGAACGTGGAGGGCACCGTGCCCCCCCTTTGCTTTTGGCATTTTAACATTAGCCCTATGGGCATTGCATGGAAAGAATGGGACCAAAAGTCGGCAGTGTCCCCCCCCCCCTTAATTGAAGGTGTTCCGCCGCTACTGGATTGTTCTCTGTTCAGTCCAGAACCGGGTGTTGTGGAGAAGAATTTAATGCGTCCCGAAGGTAGATAAGATCAAGGCCATATGATAACAGGGCCGGGACGGCAGCACAGCAGGTAAAGCACACTTTTTGTATGTTTTTTTTTGTCGTCATTCTTTACCTATTATTGTCTTTTGTATTTAAATTGATAGACCCATCGATGCCGGTACATTCGTTTCAGATTCCTAATTCCAGGCAATGCCAAAATACGATAAACATAAGTGGGTAGATAGTAAATGCGAGCACATGTATTGGTATTGGCATTTACGGTTTATAATAAGTTGGCAGCATTCCGGCGCTACCAAATCCCGTTAACAACACTTGATATGATGGCAGCAAGTGGAGCTTAGCCGCAACTAACCGTCTTAGAAGGCTAAAATGATGTTAACAACGGGATCAGGGTATCCTCCACAGGCCCTTGAGGTTCATAGAGTACGAGTGACCCTTGACTCCTTACTTTTCGGTCTGACAGCGAGCGGCTCATTGTCTGCAGCCCTACTCTTGAGCACGCCCATTTCTAAATTTTCCCGACAGATACCAAGAAATTCGCGATTGAACAGTGGAGGTTGGATAGTGCGCAACAAGCTCTATGGAGTTGAGCTATAGGCTTCGTCATCACTGCAGTTGATATAAGGTGTTCCACTACCTACCGCTTGCAGAGGGGTAGGGAGGGTGAATTTGAACGCACTTCTCTGACTTCCGAACGAACGAAAGAGACAAGGTCATCGGCAAACAAATTCCTTCAATCAAGATGGTAAGTCAGGTGACGGTCAGGTTATACAATAATTAGCTTCAATATTCGTAGAATCCAAGCTCAGACAGTGAATAGTTTTTCGACGAAATTCTGCAGAACCAGAAGCGTGACTGTTGCTATTAGTTGAAGTGCCTTGTTTGATGGCAGTTAGACAAAGGTCAATATCGGGTCAGGTTAGGTCACAATAGGTCATCACAAAATCCTGCTGATTGGAATATGGTGACACGAGTTATTGGTCAATGGTCGTCTGTTTTCTAATATGACGAATTGATAACAATTATAAGTATGATTGGGCAAAAGCAAGGACAAGTAGGTACAGGTCTAGGTCGGGTCAAAGCCAGGCCAAATTGGGTCAAATTCTAAATTTGAATGCTAAGGTCAAATTTTTACTTACGCTCTGAACGTTTTGCGTGACGAATTTCACGGTGCTATATTATTTTTCCTGTACTGGGCATGTGCGAAGCATCGAGACAGCTTGCTGGAATGTTGAAATGTTAAATATGTTGAGCGCTGCTTGAGTTGATGAATCATTGGCCTGCGAGCACTAATAACATTTGACTAATTCCACCCTACAATGACTGGGCGTGAAGTCCCATGTGGCATCGCTGACTGATCGCGGTGATTGGCATTTGTCACCCTCCCGGCCGGAAGTGACACATCCGCTCTCCTGGAAGGAACAGCACAAAACCGCAATCCACGTGGCAACTCTTAGCTCAACGTCGACTCCATTGGCGGCTCACAAACCCAGTTGGAGCGCGGCCAGTTGGCAGATGTCAAACGGACGAGCTCGCGGCTCAGCGCGCCCCACCTGGCGCGAGCTGTCCGCCGCTGCCGGCTGCCTGTGCGCCGACTGAATGACGGGACAGACGGGACGGGAGCCGAGCGTAGCCCGCCGACCGGAGGTCCTATTTAGCGGTCCGCTCTGCCCTAATTAACACTCGTTTTTGTGTGAGGGATGCCATGTTCTGAGCCAAGTCCCAGAACTATTTACCCGAACAGTCGCAAAAGTCGGGACGAGGAGTAAATACCAACCAAGCCAGCAGTTGTGCAACTCAGGGCGTGATGTTTTGAATGACTCCTGATGTTTTGTTACGCCATCGAGCATCGAATTTTCCTGTAGCGTTATGTAACTTTGACCGACGACTTGTTGATGGAAATGTGCTGCTAGCACAAAGAAAAAAAAAACATGCTCAATATGTAAAGCTGCTCAACGTGCTACCTAATGAACGATATAGGTAACGTCTCGTGTCATCAATTACACATCTCAAACCCTTCCATATTATCTGCAGAAGCTGATAGCATGGCAGTGAAATGAGATAATTTGGTGATGAATCAAACGTAACAAACAGGGAAAGTTAAGCATGAAACAAGATTAAAGGTGGAAACAGAAATAGCGTGTTTAATGAAGCAAGCGTCGATCAGCGGAGACGGGTATTCCGTATTACTTCCTACAATAAATCTACATGTACTGCTGATAGGTATGTAGCGCCATCTGAGAATGTCATGACATGGGAAGGTGGCAGACTATCAAAGGATGGCCTTTGTTGAAACCATTTAGGGAGACAGCAATTAGGTACCTAAGTGCTGAATTGGTACCTAATGTAAGCGTATCCTGCTGGAATATGAGCAGTAGTCGCCACGCATTTTGATTGTGGATCGCTCTTAAATGTAAATACAATACAATACAATACCTACAATACGAATGGCGCCTGTTGGATGTTTGGGGCCCTGGGAGTGGTAGGACTGAAACGGTATGGGGAGGTGTGTTCTTTTAATGTTGGGAAGTCGGAAAGGGCTGCGAAGGAGAGGTGCATGACGTGCGTCATGCTGGATCCTGGTGAGTCGGGAGATTAATGGGGTAAAAAGTGTGACAGGTTTATATATGTAAATACCGAGTATTGCCTCGGTGTGACAGGTCCCTGACATACGTGTAGGCGCGTGATAACTTTACGAAATAAGGAATATAAAGATCTGATATATAAGCGAACATGCCGCTCCCCATCGACAAGAACGCGTGTGTAGAAATAAGGAATGTAGAAAATCGGAACGCGAACATTCACAAGAATCGAACCGTTAACCGTACCTTCCCAATTTGGATGTCTCAGATCAACTGGTGATCTAGAAGGTCGGGTTGATGAGGCTGAAATTAAGCTTAAGTTTTCCGTGGACAACTTAAGCGAAAGATACAAGAAGAGGGTCCAACCATTAACCAATCTTTTTTTTTGTGTGTGTCAAGGCGGGTCGAATAATACCAACATGTTCTTCTCGTTCGGAAACAGTACCTTGATGTTTTGTGTTGACATTGTTTGATTTCGAATGACCTCGTGTGGCCTAGAATGACCTTGACATACAGCGGGTCTTGAATGATGTAGGCATTCGTGGGAGATGGTCACGTACCTTTGATCAATTTCGCCTCACACATCGTTAACCCTCGCCGGCACAGGTCATTCTGCGTCCATCGACGGCACATGGGGAGGGGGCATGACGGCCCTCTCACGCACGTTTGGCCCCTAATTGAGCTAGAGCCTCGCGGAAAAAAATCATCTTGTAGGTCGTTACGAGTCAAAGCCAACCGTACCCGATTTTAAGGCCATAGGTCAAATGGTGACCCCTGAGGTCAGGTCAATGACCAAAAAGTTGGGAAAATCGGGACTTGTTAGAACGTCATAAAGTGTGGCTATTATGGGGTTTTCGGGGTGATGATCAATAATATCATGTTCATAGGCGGCGAAACGGGGAGGGCACCGGGGCACCGTGCCCCCCTTTGATTTTGGCATTTTAACATAAGACCTATGGGCGTTGCATGGAAAGAATGGGACCAAAATTCGGCAGTGCCCCTTTAATTGAAGGTGTTCCGCCGCTACTGATCATGTTAGTTTTGATCACAGATGCTGCCTTAACCCTCGCCGGACCTATTGGTATTCTACATATGCGCCGGCCGAGGGGGGGGGGGGGGGTACGACCCCCCCTCGCCGTTTTGCCCCTGGTGGAGCTAGCGCCTTGCGGAAAAAACGAGCGTGTGCGCCGTTACGAGACGCAGAGATTGATGCCTACCCGATTTTAAGGTCCTAGGTCAACTGGTGACCTCTGAGATTAGGTCAAGTGCTCCAAGGTACGGTTCAATTTTTTGGTGAATAACTTCGCAAAAAACGCCCACAGAGCCGCGATTTTGGCAGCATCGTGTTTGCCTCGCTCAGGCGCGTCGAATGATATACCTACTTTTTGTTTGGGTCAGGTCAACTTAGGTGTTGACCTCAGGTCACGGTCAGGTCAGCGCCCCCAGGTCACGAAACTGGTCGAAAGAGATCATGTCGCATATCATTCGATTCGGCATGTCTTCCTGAGTCCATTGGTGGCTTTCCCGACTCGCTAGCTTAACCCTCGCCCTGGCAGGGCATTTTTCATAACACGGCCTGGCAGGGGGGGGGGGGTCGATGCGACCCCCCCCTCGCGATTGGCTCCTATGGCACCTAGAAACACCAAATTTGGTAGGTAGGTGGGCCCCCTGGAGTTCTCGCCCCTGTGCAAATTTGGTTGCTCTAGGTCAATATTTAGGGGGGTTTTGGGGGTATAAATGTAAAAATTTCGCTAAAAACAGGTCAAAAGTTTTTCGCTTATAACTTTTGATCTAATTAAGATAGAGCA